CATTATAATGAATGAACTATATCCTTATTGCATTTATGAAAGATTAAGCAAAAAGGATTGGGAAGAAATATGTCCAAAAATACATAAAATAAAGCAATCTCTTTATGATTACCAACAGGTTTCTCTTTTTATGTAAGGTTTTATAGGCCTTCAACAACTATGCATTCGACAAGCTCGTTATCTAGGTTCCGTGTGTACTCACTTTTTTCAATGAATCAGTCGTCATTGTATAATAAGTATGAAGTGCTGTATTAGCCGACGGTGCTTCTGGTAAAGTATTAGTCTTTTTACTTAATGGATTATCATATAAATATGTATCATATGGATGTTTTTCAAATAATGGACTAAGTCGTGTTGTTGTGTCTTTTGAAAAAGGCCATTGAGCTTGTTGAAAAAATTTTGTTTCTTTAAATAATTCTAAATGTGTCTCAAGTTTATAACGATTACTGGTTAATTCTGTTCGAGTATTTGTAATTATAATTTTTGAAATATTCATTTCAAGTATATCAAATAGTTGTTGATTTAATTTTTCATTCTGTTGTAATAATTTATCAGATTTAGAATTCTTATCTTGTATCGTTTCTTCTAATGTATGATTAGTAGAAAATACATCGGAACTTATAACAATCTAAAACTAAATTTGGAAACATAAACATAAATCAAAATTTGACATACTCTTGGTAACATGGCTTCTAATTTAATTGCTACATGTTCAAGATCAACAGTCGGTTTATCACTTTTTAATATACCAGAATTATCCTATTAAAAATAAAAGATAATTTTTCTTTTGTTAACTAATTTACTATCGTTATTGATAATGTCGAGACAAAAGCATCAAGCCAACTTAATGTAGAGAAATCAACACGAATAACAAGAGGCATTATTTGAATATATAAATCACTATTGGGTACTACAAAAAAATGATTATTTATACTTTTCTGGAATTATTTTTTGTTTGATTTTACCAGGAAATGAATAAGACAATGGATAATAATATTCCGTATGTTGAATATTAATAATACCTAAATTATCCGGTAAATGATAATATGTTTTATCAGATGATATTAATGGTCGACGACGTTTTTGTTGTTTATCAGTATTTAATGAAACAGGATAAAAAACAAGATCATCAATATTTATGACACTACATGATTCAAGTAAACGAATTTGCTTTGTACGAAAAGCTTTTTCGAATTTCATAGCTGTAAATAATTTATAATAATTTGTTCTGTTTCTTACGTGAAAGTTGAAACTTACATGTTTCATCATTTGGTACAGAAGCTTTAGCAGTATTGAATTGTGCATGCCATTCTTCATGTAATTTAGCTATCCATTCAGTACGATTTATTGATTGACTTTCACTATATTTTATCCAATGTTTCTTTGATGATTCGGATTCATGATATGGATAAAGATCAATAGATAAATTTGCTACAGTCATTTGAAGTGAACCATTTTCAACTAGACGATCAACTAAAATAGAATAATGTCTTTGGTGAACGATTAAGAAAAACTGAAGTTCATTTTTCACAATACCATGAATATCTGAATCGGCAATCATATGTAAATCTAATCGTTTAACATTGAAATGTAATGATGTTTCAATAATATCGTATCGAGTAAATGCATCACTCGATTGTTGTTCACTTGTTGATGACTTTATTGGTTCATTCGCCTCGATTCTTGATGATTTAGGTTGATATGTTGGTGATTGTCGTTCTAATTTCTAAAAAAAAAAGTAAAAGTTTTATAACCAACTTTTTTTTAAATAATTTGATGTCGTTCGTATATGTTTGATAATACACGAAAGAAAAAGTAAGTCGTTGTTTCGATGATTCTACGCAAACAAAATTCTTGTGATTATAAAAAAAAGAACATTAGAAGACCACTTTCACATTAATCAATGATTTTAGAGAGACTTGTCAGTTTCTGTTTCGGATAAAGTAAAGCTAAAGATATCGATTTGTATTTTGAAATGTTATGTCTCTGTAAATCATTGTTCGATAAGTTTCATAGGCCTTTGTCTTTGTTCATGTCATTACATCTGTGCTTCACAAAGGGTTAACTCCAAAATTTTGTTTTGTGAGGTAGTATTGACAACGAGTTGTTCATAAGTATTAATAGTAGCATAACAGGTGACTGAGCCTACGCCAAAATTTTTTTTGAAGTTTTTTATACAGTACTGAATAAAACTATCCCACATTCGTATCTTTTAGCCTGAAAAACATTATCTACTAAACTTGTTGTTGTTTGTTATTAAATACAAGGCTAATTCTTCATATTGTAACATGCAAATAAAACCCAGTCTATACTCTTATTTTTAGCCAAAAGATCAAGTAGTTTAATTGAAAATTGTAGTCTTTGCATGCCTCTGATTTCTCTGTATTTGAATGGCATTTTCATTTAGTGGAATATTTTTTCATGAAACTTCTACTGCATGCGGTAGATAATCGGAACAAACCACTAAATAATAAAGAATGAGCCGACCAACAAAGTTCTTCTTTTTTTAAAGACTTATAGACTTAAAATGATAAATAGATGCAATTCATCATAACTCTTGTTCTATTCAAACATGTAGGCTCTGCTCGTGTCTAAAACCCAGGTTTTTAGTGGAATATGATATAGGGACAGGAAAACATCTATCCACTACTGTACGTCAGATATGCTTGTTGATCAAGATGTGGATAGTTTTAAAGTGATTAAATCACTGAGACAAATGCACCAAACAAAAGGAATATGTGCTTAAAGTATGTCATGTTTTTCTATTTTTCACGAATTAAAAGTATATTGGATGCTTTAAAAGGCTCTATCATAAGTATTTTTCATGCGCTTAAAGTTTCTCTAGTGTTCTCAGCAACTTGTTGCAAATCTGTTTTTTATAAGAAACGAGATTTGTACACAAGATTGAGCACAAATCAGTCTACAAAACGAAGATCGTGACGATCTCAATCCGATATCGTTTTCAAGCATAGAGAACGTTAAATATAGTTGTTGATATGGAAGATTAGCTATCTGACATTGTTGCCATTATCATACATGACAAGTAGAATAAAAACATGTAGCTAGACGAACAGCACTTGTGATGTCGATGAATCATCTAGTCGTCACTGTTAATAATTATTTGCTTATATTTTCTGCAGGAATGATTCGACGAAGAAAAATTTGCATTACTTTTACTCATGTTGGAAAAAGAAAGAGGCATAGTGTGCCTAAAGAATAGCTCCTAGTATCACTGTTAATAAGTATGTTATCAACTACACCTTACACAGACTACCAGTCTTTGTCTTGTTGTAATTAAAAATTGCTCATGTGTTTTGTAATTGATATAGATGATCGTGCTTCTGTTATATTATTTTAACTGTCATAAAAAAAGAACTTTCTTTTACAACTCTATAAGATCTAAATCTGTCTCTTAATAATTCTCGACAATCATATACGATGTTAAATCTTCGGTTTTCCCTGAATTCATTATAATTTCTTTTTTTCGAAGTATTTCACATAAATTTCATTAAAATACATACAGTAAATTTATCTTCAGCGTAACGTTTTGTTTGTTCTGCTGCACGATTCATTAATTCTGTTATTTCTTTATAAGTATTTAATGCTGATTTTAATTGAGCATCATTAAGAACTGATAATAAATCATCAAAATGTATCATAACACGAGATGTTATCATTGTACTATCTAGAAAAATAAAAACTTTCAGTTTTTAATCATTTAACATAAAAAAAATAAAATAAACACCTTGAAGATTCTTTTTCATTGAAATCCTCATTCGGCATGAATTAACAATAAAACGTATCGATGTTCCTGAAGAATTATTATCATTTGATGATGCTTCTATACGTGCATTCGGCCAAGATATTTCCTTTCATATTCAAAAAAAAACATACTCATTTATTTAAAAAAAAAGAACTTGTTTTACTTTAAATAGAAGAATATGACCTTTAGCAGTATTACGAACACGAGTTAAAGTCAATGTATCAACTTTTTGTCCATTGGGAGCTGTACTGTAAACGTCTAAAGATGGTAACTAAAATATAACAGAACGTTTCAATAGGATTAAAATGATATATCAACTTACAAAAATTGATGCTTTAAAACCTTGTGCTTTTATTGTGAATGTTAGGTTTGAAATTGTTAATGAAATTCCATCGATAGCTCGATTAGTAAAACCATATTTACCGTTTAATCTATACAAGATACATAAAAGACTTTTAAAAGGTTGAACGAAATTCGTACGGATCATTGCCGCTTGGTGAATTATGTAAATCACGAAGTTTTTCACATGTTTCAATTTCAATAGTAACGTCATCTAATGACTATATAAATGATATAAATCATATTGAATAGTTTCTTAATTTTTTTCTTACTAATTGAATTGGTAAAGTTTTTAAATTTGTCCAAGGAATCTAAGGGAAAAGAAAAAAAAAGTTTCTTTTTTTGTTCGTTTGATGTTTTTCTACTTTGATAAAAGCTCGTCCACATGTTGCTTTTTGGATTTTAAGCCATGTTGGCAATTCAGTAACATCTTCTAATGCTCTTTCATCTAAATTTATTGATGATAATTCACCTTCACCTTTTATTGTACTTAGATGAATTTGATTCGCTGAAAGATTTTTCACAAACCTTTAAATAATTTAGTAAAATAAAACGAAATTTAAAAGAAATTCTTTATTTCACACTTTGATAGTCGTTTGATAATTTGATTTTTGATTAATGAAGTCATCGAATATTCTTTAATAAACCTGATCAATACGCAAATGTCATTACTATTATTATTATTATTATTATACTATTATTATCATTATCTCTCTAGTTTTTAAAAAATATATATTTAATCTATCAAATCAAGGTAAAATTAGATAGATGTCACTCGGATGTATAAAAAAAAAAGATTTTCTTTATATTAACACAGGATAGGTAAGTGAATAGAAGTAAATGAGAGTGTTTATTTTTTGAATGTTTTAGTTTTGATTCGTTAGTTGTAAATATGATTTCAGCTATTCACGGTTTCATTTTTTGTAGATAAAACATGTTGAACAGATTCTTTTATTTTTTCTTGTTCACTTCCATCTGTTTTGTCAGAAGCTCGTTGTATAATTTCAATTATTTGTTGTAAGAGACGATTTGTTTGTGCAAAATTTGTATTCATAACATGACTAAGACTTTTTTCCAATGAACAATAAGGTACTTGAAGTTCGTAAGATGAACCATAGATTAATCGAACATATAATGGAAGAAATTGTTCTATATTTGATTTTGAATGATTGCATGCAGATAATGATTTACATCGAAGTGTAATCAATTCTGATACAGTATATGGTGTACGCATAATATTATATGGCTGATCAATATTAAATGAACAATCAGGATTATTCTCTCTACCTTTAAAATTCCAGCCAATATGTATATATGTTATGTTTAATAATGAAAGACTGCAATTAATATAATTACATTGAATAGCCATATTTCGTAAAATATATGGTTCAACATGACGTGAATCAAAATGAAGTTGAAAACCATATTCATAATCATTGTTTGTTGTATTATATAAACATTGATTTATTGTTTCATTATTCAAAAATAATTGAATTTCATCAGTATAAAAATATTGACATGGATAACGTCTATATTGAAATATATGATGATCATAATCAAATAGTCGAACAGTTGTTATGTAAGCAAGTGCAGGACTATCCGACCATTCAAATACTTTCATAGGATCAATTGATAAATTATAACTCGGATACAGATCGCCAGCATTTGAACTCAATATAAGATTGAGAACAATGAAAACAATTGTGCCAAATTGCATTGATATTGAAAAAATTGTTATTTGTACTTAACTTTTCATAACAAATAGAACAACGTAGCATTTTTATATATCACTAACTAATGACCTATACCAACATATGTTGACTGTTGATTTCGGAAAAAAATAATAATATGCCAACAATTGGACTGTATAATTATTATCCTTGTAGCAAATGTTTCATATCAAAAGGACATAAGTCACATTAGGAAACCTTTTTTGCCCCGTCTTCTATGAGATTGCGCAGTTAATAGAGAAAACAAAAAATAAAAATCAAACAATTATATATATTTGTTTTCTTTTTTCGTACACACGCAGGACACAAAACCAAAATCAACATTTTCCTAGTCTAATATAAAAAACAGACAATTTTATAAAAACAGTCTCATCATCTTCACTACCATCCAAAAGAGAGAAAAAAAGAATATCAATGACGCAAAAAACGAGTCACAGACGTACGCAAAAGAAAACAAGAAAGTTCTACTCAACAATGAGTATTCCATATAGATATATATGTATATATATGTAATCGAAAAAATGAAACTTTCATATTCATTCATCAATATGATGTGTAAATGACTTGTTTAAACAAAAAAAGATGTTTAATTTTCTGGTGGAGATTCCATATATCGAAGATCATATCGAATATTTGATGAACGGTATTGATTTGGTTGTGAAGAAAATGAAAGACAGGAACGAAATGTTAATCCACGTGTTCGTCGTCCACCACCGATTCTTTCATTAGCACCTGCAAATTTATCAAATTGTTTTGTTTCGAAACGATATTGTCTATATTCTTCTTCATAGTCAATATCATTCATCATTCGATATTGATTTGGTATACAGAATTGCTAATAAAAAAGAAAAAGTATTAGTGTTTATTATACCAAAACTAACACAACGACAAAATCTTACATTAGAATATTCATAAAAAGCTTTATAGCCACCTTCAAGTAAATAAATTTCAGGATAATGTAATTGTGGATAAATTCTTTCATGTATATTACGATCTTCTGATCGAAAAAATCGCAATCTATCAATTAAAATCTTCTTATTACTCTATCAAACAAAAATTTTCAATAATTCACTTACAATGATGGAGCTCTTTCGGATGAAAATTCACAATGAAAAATAAAAATATTTCTTTTCCATGAATCTTTTAATTCTAATGGTTTATGAAAATATTCATTATAAATTTGTGACCGTGTATAAAGATTTTTTGCTGATTGAATATGACCACCATCATATTCATATGGATAACGACAATCAATAATATGTAGATTTTCAATTTCAGATGCGTAGACATTTTGTAATACATCAACCATCTAGAAAATATAATCATATATCAATAGATCTATTTGATTTTCTTACTGTTTCAGGACTAATACAAGCAAGATCTGGATGTTTACGACTTTTACATCTTGGTAAAAGATAAGAACGTGTACGATCACCAATTAAATCTCGATTAGAACCAAGTTCAACGGATGCTTTTATTTGTTCTTCATTTGGTTCAGTGAAACTTCGAGTTAACTAGTAAAAAAAAACAAATTGCAATAAAAATTAATTGAAATCATCGTTAACAAATTTTCAAATACATACACCAACACCACGCCGAGATCGTTTAATAAATAAATTGTTTTCTTTATCATTTTCCTCAAAGATTTTACTGCGTTTTATTGAACGACAATTTTCACTGTTTTCATCGTCATCATAACTTCGTTTCTGTAAACGAAAAAAATATTCGACGTTGTTCTTTTATTTACAAAAAAAAACGTTCTTACATGTGTATTTAAGTTTTCTTCTGTTGTAATAACCGTTAAAACTGGCATATTTTTTTCATTATCCGATAAACAAAGAGGTAATGGTTTGCATCGTCGTTGTCGATTACGAACAGGATTTGGTGTCACTGTCGAAAGAGTTTTATCGAATAAATTCACAAGATGATCCGAGTGAGAATCCTACGCAAAATTTTTTTTCTTTAGAAATTAATAAAATTTCATATAAGACAACAAACTGATGATGATGATTGAGATCGAGTTTGCATTGAATGACATGATTCATTTGAACGAATTTTTTTATTTTGATTAATTATAGCTAATGATTGACGTTTATGCAAACGTAACGATGTCGGTCGAGCAAGCATATTAAAACCATAATGTTCTAGTTTCGAACGTGTTACAATACTTGTTGTCATTTCTGACTTTGTCGACAACCTGTTTTAAGAAGAAAAGAAAATTTTTTTGATAAAATCAATTAGATAAAAAATTCTAAAAAGATTTATGCTCTTATTAACATATGAGTAAGCTATCGAATTTTGATCCGAAACTTTGCGTATATCGAAACTGTAACTAGAGTAATTTTCATATAAAAATCCAGACACTATGAATAAAGTCGCTTCAAAAGATGCACATTGTAAACAGTACCCATGGAGAAGGACCTATATGTTGAAAGTTTCCTATGTCGAGGAGGCTTGTTCAAAGGTTCAGATCAACATATGTAAACTTAGTTAAATCTCAATATCATTGAGGATTTTCCTTAGAAAACTATTTAGTATCTCTAGGCATAAAAATAATTGAACTCAAAAAAACACATATCTGAGAAGGTTTCCTGGTTAGCTTAATAAAATCAAATTATCATTTTTGTTCTCTATTTACTAATGGTAGGAAAGCACTTATTCATTTACCTTGAGGGAAGAGGAAATACGTGATGTCATTTGTAGCATGAAAGTTGACACTTGTCTATAATTGTATGAGAGGGTACGAGAAAAAAATGAGGGTAAGATCGTTGCACTTGAATGAGAGAAGAGAAAAAAAAAATTTCAAAAAAACATGTCAACGGTCGAACACACACTCTACACTTGAGTGCCATTGAATTGTCAGTCATAAATCAAGTAGAACGAAATCTATCGCCGCTCATGTGAAGCTAACCATGGTATGCAGTCAACAAAAAAAGAAGAGAACACTCACTGTTCATCATGAATAATCGAATGATGTTCTTGTCGCAGGATATGCACTAAAGCGAAAAATTTCTATTTTTTTTCATTAAGAAAATAGATAAATGATTTTTACCTGATGATACCGATTGTGGACTATCGTCTGCTTCATCATCACTTGAAGAAAAAACAAGTTTACGTCGAGGTGTTCGTCTAAAGAAAAAGAATCTTTTAGATTTCAATGCAACTTTTACAATGCGAATATAAATGTTTGTCTTGTTTTTTCGATTATGAATCTAAGCATATCTTACCGTAACATAAATCGACAACTTAGAGGAGACGTTGTCTTACTCATATTGAGCCAATGTTGAATATCAAATAAAGTATTCATATATATATATATATGTATATATATAGATAACTGATAACTCTCTTAAGATAATAGTCACCACAACATAGAGAAGAAAACGAAAGATGTTATATGCATTTCATCAAGATGAAACTGGGACGACCATTGAACTAGAGAATTCTTTTTTCTTCTTCTCGTTCAGATTGATGAAAAAATATTTGCTTCTCTTCTCTTTACTTTTTGCTTACGCTCTCTCAACGTTTGTCGAGCTTAACGAATTTTTTGAACGTGTGTTCAATAAACATATAGACACCAACGAACAGGACACAGCAAGAGAACAGGAAGGGAGAAAATGGGTGGGAGACGAGATCGATGCAATGACGGATAACATCCTTTCAACACTTTTTTCCTCCCGGGAAAGAGTTCGTTGGAAAAGAAATAACAAAAAAAGCGAAAGAGAACGTTAGGATACGAATTTCAACGTTGTTTTCATTTGCACTTTAATGTAGATTTAATCACATCTAACGCTATCAAAGAGAGGAATACGAAAGATTGTTCATATAGAAAGGAATAAAAGAACAAAAAGTTAGTTTATATTATAGACTGAATAAATGCATTCATTCAAGAAATTTATAATTATATCATGTCAAAATTGAACAATCTGTTCGAGAAGATGGATGTGTGAGAAAAAAAAGAAGACAGGTGATGAAATTAATATTGTTTTGACAATTTTCATCAAACGACTGGAGAGAATTTCTATTGAAAAAGAATTTATCTCTTCATCTGAGTTCTGCACCTAAAACTTAGGCCTTCATCGGAATTGGATTATTAATATTATGTTTACATGTGCTTACGGAAATTCAGAGAAGGGTGTCCTCCCTTTCGTGAACCAAAATATGTTTTTTTTATGGCTATTGTATAGTCCGAATTAATATCTGTCTACTGAAAACATATTTTGGGATCTAAAAATTGTCTTGAAATGTTAAAAAATCAAATTCGGTTAAATTTCATATTGTTTCCTGTTTTCGTTTAGAATCAGTTTTTGAATAGAGTAATTCAAGTTTCCTTTATTTTTTTTCTTCCCGAAACTTTGATCGATTCAGTTGAAACTTTTCTCCAACAACAATGAACAAAATTAGGTGGACATTTTTGTGTTTCGAAAGAAAATATTTAGCTACAAAACATAAAATTTGACTGTCTGAGAGGGAACAGGGTCGTAAGTCATTGTTGTCCATAGCGTTCTCTGTATCTTATAAATGAAAGGATTCGGATAATCTACGTTTATGACAATTTTTACTCTACTCGTCGAGAATCATCTATCCTGAAAGTCTCAGTTTTTGGTCAAATCATTCTTGAGCAACTAGGAAAGAGTAAGGAAATTTCCTTATAGTATATTTATTATAACATTCATAGTAGTGGAAGGTAGAATAACAGTGTCTTAATGTAATACCGGTATAATTTTATTTTCTGTAAGAGACGATAGTCCTTTTAAATAGTTCTCGAAGAAACATTTTTTCATATAATGATTTTTTAAGTAATTAAGTACCAAAGTCAATAACTCCACTATACAATATTATTCAAAATGATGTGTCTGTTAGATAGACTTGTTATTTCTAGAATTTCTTCCTTAATTAGATCTATGATCTTTGATTCTCATCATTATAATGAATAATATATTCTTTATTTACCTGTCACTGAAGGTAATTCTTGATGTTTGCATTA